GAGAGAGAGAGAGAGAGAGAGAGAGAGAGAGAGAGAGAGAGAGAGAAAGAGAGAGAGAGAGAGGGAGAGACAGAGATAGCGACGACGCGGAGGGCTGCGGACGAGACGAAAGAGGGACGATGGCGACCGTGCGACAACGACGCGGCGGCGACGTGGCAGGACGGCGCGTTAGCGTACGCACCATACGTACGGACGTGTTCCGTACAGATGGCCCGTACGTACGGGGGTTTCCGTCCGTACACGCCGTACGACTAAACGGCGGGCGCGCGCTCTTGTGGGGGACTTTGGCGCGTGCTGAGAGAGAGAGAGAGAGAGAGAGAGAGAGAGAGAGAGAGAGAGAGAGAGAGAGAGAGAGAGAGAGAGAGAGAGGAGGAGGTGAGTTTCCTCTTTTTCTTCTACTTCTACTTCTTCATCTTCTTCTTCAACTTTTTTTCTACTTCTTCGACTTCATCCTTCATCTTCTGCTTCTACTTCATCCTCTTCTTTTTCTTCTTCCTCTTCTTCTTCTTCTTTTACTTCTTTTTCTTCTTCTTCCACATTTTTTCTTTCTTTCTTCTTCTTCTTCATCTTCTTCTTCTTCTGCTGCTTCTATTTCTAGTTCTTCTTATTATTATTATTTCGTCATGCATTCTTCTTGTTCTTCTTCTTGTACTTCTTCTTACTCTTGTTCTTCTTCTTCTTCTTCTTTTTCTTCTTCTTCTTCATGTTTCGCGTTTGTTTTATTTTTTTCCCCTCCACCGTGCTTTCCTCGTCTTCTTCTTCTTCTTCTTCTTCTTCTTCTTCTTCTTCTTCTAGACTTCTTCTTCTTCTTCTTCTTCTAGACTTCTTCTTGTGTGTGTGTGTGAGAGAGAGAGAGATTGGTTTATTCTTCGTTTTACATCCATGTGTGTGTGTGTGTGTGTGCGTGAGACAGAGAGAGACGGAGAGAGAGAGAGAGAGAGAGAGAGAGAGAGAGAGAGAGAGAGAGAGAGAGAGAGAGAGACAGAGACAGAGAGAGAGAGAGAGAGATCCCACTGACGCCGACGGCGAACGCGACGACGACGGTTCCGGCGACGGCGGCGGCGGAGCGACCAACTCTCCGAGAGGGCACGCGGCGCAGCGGCGGCGGACGCCACGCACACATGCCCGTACGTACGGAGGCACCTGTACGTACGGCCCGTACGAGCGTACGTACRCAGCGTCCCGTACGTACGGCCCGTACGCCTAAACGGGCCGGTGGTCGGGCCGTGCTC